CTTTCTTGATGTTTTCTACCATCCCCTTCTTTACTGCACCATCGACCACAGGGATCACTACGGTTTTTATATGCCACATTCTCTGTATTTCTAGTTCTAGGGCTTTGTACTTGCTTTTCTTTTCGATTTCCTTCTGTGCGATGTTTTTATCTGATGGAACAGTCATATGAATCAGTTTGCAGGTGGAATTCACTGAATCTTTTGTTATTATTATTATTATTATTATTATTATTATTGTTATGAGCTCTGTTTTGGTTTCAGAGAAATTTGATCAATATCATCCTGATCATTTATAATTTTGTTGTTGGCTGCTTTTCGTTTAACGATAACTGAGAACACAATGTCGCATAGAAAGTGAATCTCTCGCCTAATGACGTTATCGTAACTACGTTTGGGCCCAAAAGTTATTACACTGGGGACCTTTATTTCATTTAGTATCAAAAGTTATTCCCTTTAGGGCCAAAAGTTATTACTCTTAAGATTTTTATTACGTTTAGGACCAAAAGTTAATACACTTAGGACCCTAATTACATTTAGGGACATTTATCAGGGGCACCCAACGACTGTCTTCTGTAAAATATCTGTTCGGAGAAGCAAATGCTGCCTAGAAATTTCTATTGCTTGAGGACGGTTAAAAATTTCTAGATTGCTGTTCCATTCATGTACAATTTTGGAAGCTTATCTAATCATTTCCCTACGATTTTCTGAAGTTTAATTCTTTACATTTCACTGCCCAGGTTAGGCTATTTTCGTACAAAAAGGAAACCTAACATTTTCGGATTCCAAAATGTGATGGAGAGAGGAATCAGAAAAATTCTCACTTTCGTAATACGTTATTATGATTGCATCTAAAACTTTCAGCAAAATAATACTGAAGCCCTTGTAATTTCGAAAAGACTCAAGTTCCCCTAGGATGACCAAAATGGCACAAATTTTATAGCGTCCCTTAGAATGCATTTCTAGAAATCTTAAAAGTAGTACTCTGGATAGCCTTAAAAACGATTCCAATGTATTTAGGAGGAAACCGTGGTTGGGTGCCCCTGCATTTATTACATTTGAGGCCTCGACCTTCTGTTTTAGCGATTTAGTCAGTTGCAGAAGTTAAAAAGTGATCCAGTGCTCTTTTGTGGGTATGTAGAAAGGGTACCATTTGTAGATGGAAGGTATACGAAACGGTTACATTTTCTGTCGAATATGGTATAAAGAAGGAAAAGGGACAGACTAGTCTCGTTGTGTAATGACTGCTAAATTGCACGTGCATTGTAGCACGTAAGGTTGGTTGGGGGGCCACAGGCAAAGTTAACTTCTGAGTTTGGCCAGATTAATTTGTTTGGTATTTCTGCCCATTCGTAATTGCTTTATATGTTGATTGAGTTCTACCAGTAATGAATATTTTTTTAATCGTTTGTAGCATTAAATGTGAAAGTCACAATGTGTGAAAATGCAAACACGAATCTGTCGCTTTTATTATGTAAACATTCAATTAAAATGTCACAAATTTGCATAAATTCAAAACATTTCATCTTTATTGTGGTAACATGGTAATTTTGCTACGACATTTGCCTGCTTAATCTTGTGCAGAAATTACGATAGTCTCAGAACCGGCCATTCCTCACGAAAGCAAACTAAAATAACTGAGGATATTAAAATATCCCTAACAACGATCAATATCAAATAACAACGCTTTATAAAACAGAGAATGGGAGATAACAGATATCGAACACAGTCATTTCGGCTCCAAAGGTTACGCTTTACCGCACGTACGGGAACCATAAAGCTTTCTGGCTATAAGCCAGTATGAAATATGCCCAAAGCGAGAGCCGTTTGCATACAATGAAACTCGTGACGATTCTTACCCCCAGTTTCCACGGTCTCCGCTAAGAACGCCTGGGACTAGGGCTTTCCACAAGTTGCTCGAGATTTCTCAAAAAGTTTCCCGTAATTTCTCAAAAAGTTGCTTTTTGTGACGAACTTTGCTCAAAAGATTTTAAAAAAAAACCCTTTTTTTTCACCCTCGTCCTTTAATTGATCTGTCCGCCATTTTAAATTTTCTTTTAAAAACCGCTGACCTAGCAGCCCGGCTGCATGCATCTTTCACCCGTGATCTGCCCCAGGGAGGAAGATCTGGCTCCTTTTTAAGAAAGACGAATTTAAGCACTAAAGGCGGTTCCGATATCTCAGAATTACTAGAAATTGAGAGAAATTGCTCAGAAAGCAAAACGTTGCTCGAAATACCAGAAGTTGCTAAAAAGTTGCCGAGCAACTTGTGGAAAGCCCTACCTGGGACTATGACTCCCTTTTTGGGAAGGACACACGAAAAAATAAACAAACAAAGAAAAGAAAAGAAACACCGGCCTCCATTTTTAGAGTCTCACTCTGCTAAAGCAGGCTCGTCGACTAATAAGCTTTTCTTCTTCTCTGAGAAGCGACAAAAATTATTTCGTCATCTAAGCGTCTTGAATGACGTGTCCAACCATCCTTTGAGCTACAGAATCTGGACTCTAACTACGTACCTTACATCACCATGTTAGTCCAGAGAGACAATACTATAGACTACCACCTAATGATATTAGCTCGGAATGGTACGATCCCAGATAGGACCAGTTGTTGGCCAACGGAATTCATTAAATCAGCCGACTATTTGTTTCTTACAGAACGTTTTGTAGATGAAGCCTTGAACCTAATAACAAAGAAGTCGGACGGGCTTCATAACCATAGCGCTTTCAACTCCGTTCCCAGGACCCATTCTCTTCCTTCCTCATGAAAGAACTATAACCGAACTATGTTCTTCCTAAATACACTTGAAAAATCCCTGTTCTGGCTTTCTAGTATGAGTTACTGTGCAACCCTGCCATTAGTCTGCGATGTAACCTGATACAATCAACTCAATGCATCAAACAACATCACAAAAATATCTTACAGATTTTCGGGTTAAAGATCGTAAGAAATGTTTTTGTCATGTTTAGTGAGGCCTCCAATGTAATAAATGTCCCTAAATATAATAAAGGTCCTAAGTGTAATAACTTTTGGCGCTGGATGATGTAATAAAGTTCATGACTGAAAAACAGAATGGTCTGATGCGATAAGTTCAATAAGTCAGGCTATTCACTTTCGATGCCTACTTTTTCAAAAACTGAAAAGAAATGTAATGGTATAATAACTTTTCATACAAATTGACGTTGTTTGGATTTTTTGCGTCATTACAGGCAAAAGGGCATCCATGGAATCCCAAATACAATGTATCTCAGACAGTTTTACTTTATTTTACCTTTCTTTTGTGACACCACTCAACAGCAACTTCATAACAGAGCCTCACGATATAGAAAAATATATGCTTTTTCTTCAAAAAGTGCTTAATAGCAAATTACGCCAAAAGCGAACACTTTGTACATAGTATTTTACTCTAAAAAAACTCTTAGACAGGCAATCACGAAAGATATCTAACTTCAGTGCTGCCGGCCACTCCTAAATAATAGCTAATATTATTATTATTGTCTGGTCCATCACTGTCTTTGCTGATGTTCTTTTTGTGCACCAGCCGGGCGCAAACCATGCACCTAGAGCATCAGTCACGCAAGTCAATGATTCTGTTTATACACTAAGCACCTTTCTGTGGATTGGCGCAGGTGGAATTGCCTGAATCTTTTATTGTTATTGTTATTATTATTGTTATTATTATTATTATTATTATTATTATTATTATTATTATTATTGTTATTATTATTATTATTATTATTATTAAGAGCTCTGTTTTGGTTTCAGAGAAATTTGACCAATATCATCCTGATCATTTATGATTTTGTTGTTGGCTGCTTTTCTTTTAATGATAACAGAGATCACATGTCGCATAGAAAGTGAATCTCCCGGCTAATGACGTTATCGTAACTACGTTTGGGGGCAAAAGTTATTACACTCGGGACCTTTATTGCATTTAGGACCAAAAGTTATTCCCTTTAGGGCCAAAAGTTATTACACTTAAGATTTTTATTACATTTAGGACCAAAAGTTAATACACTTAGGACCCTAATTACATTTAGGGACGTTTATGAGGGGCACCCAACGACTGTCTTCTGTAAAATATCTGTTCGGAGAAGCAAATGCTGCCTAGAATTTTCTATTGCTTGAGGACGGTTAAACATTTCTAGAGGACTGTTCCATTCATGTACAATTTTCAAAGCTTACCTAATTATTTCTCTACGATTTTCTGAAATTTAATTCTTTACATTTCACTGCCCAGGTTAGGCTATTTTCCGTACAAAAAGGAAACCTAGCATTTTCGGATTCCAAAATGTGATGGAGAGGGGAATCAGAAAAATTCTCACTTTCGTAATACGTTAAATTGCATCTAAAATTTTCTGCAAAATAATACTGAAGCCCTTGTAATTTCGAAAAGACTCGAGTTCCTCGAGGATGACCAACCAGGTACAAATTTTATAGCGCCCCTCAGAATGCATTTCTAGAAATCTTAAAGTAGTACTCTGGATGGCCTAAAAAACGACTCCAATGTATTTAGGAGGAAACCGTCCTTGGGTGCTCCTGCCTGTATTTATGGAACAAGTACAAGTTTGACTGTACTTTAGTAGCAGAACTACGCGGCCGGAAAACGTGCGCACTTTCACGAGTCCTCATATTGTGTTAAACACCTCCCACTACTTAAGTCAAGCCACACAACAAAAATAGTGCTTGACAAATTTTCCTACCCCAAAAATTTCTCCATCGTCACTTGGAATCTGGATATGGGACTCACGACCTTCTATAGGTTGCCATTGTTTAGCTATTTCCATTTCTCTTAATTCCCGCGCTTTGGTGACGCTGTCTTATTGGAAAGTGCCAGATTTTTCGAGTTCTCGACTATTAACGTTACCAGAAGTGACTTGCTTCAGAAAAGAGAGATGGGTAATTTACTGAGACATTGATTTACAACAATGATGACAATAAATGATGATCACTTTGGATTTGATTTTCTCTTTGTAAAATGTTTCGTCTAATTTTTCTTCCCTTCAGTTCCTCTGGATATTCTCACTCGAGGTCCTTTAGCTTTAAAAGCTTATAAAGAGGCCCTTGCACGTGGTGAAACTTCTGTCAGGAGGGTGCCTTTAATGCTGATTGGACAAGGCGGTGCTGGAAAGACCACCACAAAGAAATCATTGAAAGGGATCTGTTTTGATCCAAACGAGGACAGAACTGATGGGATTGATGTAGATCCTTCCTATTTTAAAGTGTCCACTGAGACGTGGCGGACGGGAGAGCAAGGCAACGACAAAAATTCCGATACCGCCATTGACCTTAAATATCATTTGGCAAGATGTTTTGCCGATTTTTTAAAGATGCAAGAAAACTCCATCCAGCGGAATACAGATAGAGATTTCCTTGATTCTGAAATTATTGAAGTGCCAGAGCAACTAACAACCACTGAAGAATCAAGAGACAAAGACCAAAAAGAGGAAGCAGCTGCAGCTAATAAAAGGTTGTCCCGAGATGGTTTAAATGACGACAGCTTCTCTCGTGCATCTGTACCCGAAGAGGTAGCAGCTGTAACTGAACGGTTCCTCCGAGGAGATGTGGACGACAACAGAGAAGACATTTATTTTACTTTTTGGGACTTTGCTGGACAGTCAGTGTATTATGTGACTCATCCGCTTTTTCTTACAGCCAGAGCGATGTTCCTCTTGGTGTATGATCTAAGCCTAAATCCTGACGACGAAGCAAAGCCCGTTTTAAAACAAGGAGTATACGAAGAAAGTGAAGAAAGCTACAATATAAAAACAAATTTTGATTATCTTGACTTTTGGATGAGGTCTGTGGCCTCATTAGCCAGAGGTCAAGCGGAAGGGTCTAGACTAGAAGAGACGACCTCTGTGAAGCTTCCTCCCGTTTTCCTCGTGTGCACCCATGCTGATAAACCTTATGGTCATGGCGATCCAGAAAAACTGGCCCGAAAGATATTTGGGTATCTAAAGAGAAAGCCGTATGGTGCTCATCTGTGTGACGTATTTTGGATAGATAACACAAGTCTAAGCGTCAACAATTCTGACTGTCCACAGGTTGTCCGTCTGCGAAAGGAAATAATTGCTTTTGCCAAGAAGCTTCCTTTCATTAATGAGACCATTCCAATCAACTGGTTAAAGTTCGAGAAGGCTGTTCAGGCCAAAAAGGAAGTGGGAAACAAACGCATTTCCCTGGAGTCCGCGAAAGATATTGCTAAAAAAGACTGCAACATTGTTGACGAGAAAGAGTTTGAAACCTTGCTGAACTATCTTCATGACATCAGAAGTTTGATTCATTACGAAGACACAGTGCAGTTGAATAAATTGGTAGTCCTAGAACCTCAATGGTTAGCTGATGTTTTCAAGAAGGTGATAACTGTAAAGCCGTATGACCCTCAAGAAAAGGAATTCTTACATCTGTGGCGTAAGCTTGAGTCGACAGGAGTACTGGATGAAAATCTTGTGGCTCATGTATGGGGCCCTTTGTTTGAAGACAAAGAAACATTGGAGAGTCTCATTGGAATCATGGAGAGATTTAGCTTGTTATGCCCTTGGCCAGTCCATGGCTCGAGCAACAGTCAGTATCTTGTCCCGTCAATGTTGATGTCATGTCCAACAACTGACCTTCTTGAGCTAGTGGAGTCGGCCAATATTCCTTCCCTTTTTGTCAAATTTTCAAATGGTGAAGTTCCTCCAGCTTTTTTCCCTCGGTTGGTCGTACAGTTTATTCAGTGGGGCAGAGAAAGATTTTGGTCAGAAGAGACTCCTCAGCTCTTTGTGGGGTTTGCTAGGTTTTATACCTCCGAAGAAAAATGCTCTGTTATTTTTATATGCCACTCCTCATCTGTTGAGGTCGTTGTTCATGGAGGTAATTCAGCATCTTTCCTACCCAGCAGCGGAGAGGAAACCTGTGCTCGTAGGGTGTGTAGACAGCTGAGCTTGATTCTTGAGTGTATGCGCAATCAGTTTCCCTGGCTGGAAAATATGACATATGAAATGTGTGTCAAATGCCCCGTTTGCTCCAAAGGAGGGGAAGTTGCCTTTTGCCAAACCCATGGTGCAAAAATATGCAAACAGGAACAATGCCTTCACTTCTGGATTGTGTCTGAATTGTGCAGTGACACTAGAAATATCTCCTGCAGGAGGTTCGCGTTTGCTCCAGACACCACGGTTGAAATCAGGCAGTTTTCCCCTTGGTTTCCTGCTCAAGAAGAACAGGTAATTAAACCATATTTTTACTGGAATTTTTTGGGGTCACGTGGAGTTTTCTCCATCCATCCCCGCCCGTCCACTCCCCTGACCACCGTGGCCAATTTGTAATTTAAGTAGTTTTATCGCCGAATCAAACCTTTTACACTAAAGCGCTTGAAAAATTTTCCAGGTTAAAGAAGCTCGCGTTAACTGATGACAGTTTTGAGCAAACGCTGAAAGGAAAAGTCACGGAGTTTGGAGCTAAAATTAAAACGTTGGCACTGAAATTGAAGTAGAGTCAGCTATCTCTGAACGAAGGAAGAAAAGAGTGTTATTTTTTCCTTTTTATTAATTACAGCTTGGGACTGATGAATGTGTCGGAGACCAGTTTGATCTTGGTGAAGGTAAGGATAGTGAGTCAACAACCATCAGTAAGAAAATACCCAGTAAGTGATAAACCGTTTTGTTAATAGACGAATCCAAAGGGAAGAGTTCGTACAGTATAGGAGTAACTGAAACCGTTAAGTGTAGCTTTGTGTTTAGATGTGCCAAACCACGAACTGACTTTATGAAGTGCTCCGAAAATTTTATTCAAAATCAGATCGGTGTAAAAATTAAGCAATATTTTTTTATGAGGCTAAACCCTATTTAGACTTAACTTTTTTGGGACTGGACTAGGCTTGGAGGCTCGTAGCCTGTAGATTTACCGCGGACGATACTTTTACACAGAGTCACACCAAGTCTATCTTTGACGTACAGTTTTGATGTCATAATTAGGTAATATAATGTCAAAATGAATTTATTTTAATAGTCATTTTAAAAAACACAACAAACCATATTAGCAAATTTTAAATCACATTTTCTTCACAAAACAACTCTCATTAGAAGATTGTGTCGATACAAACGCACGATTGATGGTCTTGTAATTTTTTTGCTTCATACTGGAAGACTTTCACGTCATTGCTGCATTGTCATTGTCATTTGCGTCGTGGCGGATTATTTGAGTTTTTTTTTTTTTTAGTTAGAAGTGTACGGGATGAAGCCTCCGGTACTTTATCCACCTTGGTAGACGAGAATCTAGAAAGCTGAGACAAAAATGTCAGTGAGATTACTTAACGAGCAAACGACATTTTGAGAAGAAATGTAAGGGGGAATAATCTCCGGGAAAGAGTGTAGAGTATCGTCTATACACTCTTTCCCGGAGATAATAGGAAAGTAATAGCATAATTTTTTCTCTGGTATATCGTTATATAAAAAAAGATGTGGTCGAACAATAGCTAAATACTTTCCTATGTTTTTAAGTGATTGTGGCATTGTTTTAATTCTAGGAAACCAAGAAAAGGCATTGGCAGTTCGTAGCAGTGTGCTTGAACATCTTTCGTCCAAGTCGTGCGATGCCGAACTGGTTGTTAGCAAACTGAAGGAGACTCTGCGGTTAGATCAAGCCTCTCTTGAACAGCCAGACTCTGACACCAAGAAACAGATCCGCTACTTGGCTAGAGAAGCTAGTCGTTCCAACAGACCTGATGTGGTGGAATACTTGAGAGAAATTACCCCTGCTGGGACTACTGGTGAGTGTTTCATTTTTCCTCATAATCATTCCTAGGAGATGTAGTGTTTTCACTTTACACTCTATTGAACTTTGCACTAATTATAATCGAGGATCCCTTATTGTCTAATTGCGTTCATGCATTATTCTTATCTCTTTCCTTTAAAGGAGGAAAGATGACCTATGATCTTGGAGTCATGTTAGAGTTTTGATAGATCAAACGTGGGCTATTAACAAATGAGTTTTACATACTGATATGCATGCTTGATTCCAGGTCCACTATTACCTGAATCCCTTGACGTGAGAAGAATCCCTATTTCGCAAGCAAGACAGCTTACAATCGACTTGACTGGTATGGATTTTAGGATAAACTCAACCTGTCTGACGTCTTATTTTGTGAGCAAATTAATACTTTCTTTAGGTCGAGGTAAAAGTTATCAGCCGAGCCGAAGGCCGAAGCTGGTTACGCTCACTTAGACCTTGATTATTACGGGCATCACAAAAACCAAAACTAAGAACTGTCTTATTGTACACTGTTTCGAAGAAAGTGACAACAAACACACCATCGCACAGAACACATTTTGTCATTGTTCTTGGAAATCATGCGTTGAGTGCGCAACCTACAAATTAGTCATTAACCTGATAGTAGACAACTAATCTGTACGTTGCGCTTATTTCCAAAATCTATCTAGTGTACATGTAGGATCTTATTCAATGAGAAGACACAGGTATTGAGTACAGTCAACTCTCGCCTTGTGAACACCCCGCTATAACGGACACCCCGATAATACGGACAGCAGCTATATCCCAGGAAACAATAAATTACAGACATTTGACTGAAATGAACTCCCGCTATTACGGACTCTCGCTAATCAGGACGCTATGTCGAGGTCCCTGCTGGAGTGTCTGCTATAAAGAGAGTTGACTGTACAATGTATAAAAATTATTATTAAGACTATCATTATCATTATCATTTTAAACTGCCTTATTTAGTCTTAATGCATTGGCACGCAAGTACAAATTGGGGACATGCTTTTGCGTTTCGTGCTGCAAATGGGCCACTCAAAGATCTAGCCGTCTTTTGGAAAAAGGCCTTTTCCCGAGTGTTGGTTCGTCCCCTGGAATCAAACTCCACTTCCTCCCGTTGGCGCTTTACTAAATCAGCTTACCCAACAGTAGCTAGGTCAGTTTAGGTGTAGGTTGTTAGGCAACCGCTGATCTTTCGGTTTTTCTTTGTTGTAGTTGCAGGCGGCGAAAAGTGGAAGTTTGTTGCCGAGAAACTGGGTTTGAATCCCGGAGAGATCCGTTTTCTTGACGAGCGCAACAAGAATCCAGTTGAAGCTCTCTTAGCCTTTGTCGCGAATCAGCGTTACATGTCGGTGGGAGAACTTTATCAAGTCTTATGCCATTGTGGGATTCCCGTAATCGCCGATCAACTGTAAAACATTGGAAGGTTTTTACAGCAGTGGTTGTGTTGTATATAACCAAATATGATATTTTAGTAGCAGATTATTGGGAGTACTCGCATCCTATTGGGAGTACTTTTTCTTTCGAGCCTCCTGTATAATTGATGAAAAAAATCGTCTTTCTCAGATTATTATAGCACAGTACATAACGTACGTAACATTAAGTACTAAAGAGAAGAAAAAAAGTAATGTTAAAATATTTTTTTTTTCTTTTAATGGCACACAGTGGAAAAGTAGAAAACTAAAACGATTAGTGCCAGCGAATACCCACAGTATAATTTTAAATAGTGATTTGCTGAGTTCTATCGGCTCGCATAATGTAAAGTGACTAGGAAAGTTCCCTTGTAACCCAAAAAAGCTTTTGTAGGAGGATTTTAGAACAAAAAAATGTATTTATTCATCCTCTTATTATATAGATTTTTCTTTTACCTTAAATCCTCTATAAAGCCCACCGCGGAGCTTATTTATTTTAAGCGCGTCAGAGGTGAGGGAGGGGGTGGGGGTGTTGGGTGGTTACTTTAACAAAACGAATAACCGGTACCTTCAGCAAAACAATGAAGAAAAAGACTAGAGTTCCGGTTCCCTCTACTTTTTGTTTTAGACAAAGAAACAAACAAATAACCAACAAACAGAAGATGTTATGGTATCAAAGAAGTAGAAAGCTCAAGCACGTTAAGTTGAAGGTCATGTAGCGGAAAATCAAACCAGACAATCGTGATAAACTAATAAAGTGCATCATTTTTTAATTTGGTGCTGAAGAATAAAGGGGAAGGGAGGAGGAGAGCTTAAAAGAGAGGACGAACTTTCTTGCTATAAAAGGTAGAAAAAGGGAGTTTATTTGAAGTATGGGAGGGGCTTTATAGAGGATTTACGGTATATTTAACAATTAATGAATGAGGCTGAGTATCTTATGAAGAATTATGGAGATCGAGGAGGGTGCTACGGCCTCGACGGATAACACCCTCCTCGATCTCCATAATTCTTCATATGATACGAAATTTTTATTTATTCAAAATAATTCCTAGTTTAAAAACATGGCTAAAACATGCTTACCTCAATCGATCCATCGATGTTAAGTTCATCTTCGATAGTGTACGTTTAGGGTTTGTTCAGCTCCGCAAATATTCTCCAAACAGGAGATGTCGCCCTTCGAGTTGTCTTCTTGCTGTTCTTGTCATGTTTTTAGATATTATTTCGCTTAATTCTTACTCTTGAAACGAGTGAAATGTCCGCTATTTTTGTTCTCACAACCAAAACAATTCAACCTCGTCCCTAGGTCTTCTCGGTTAACGGTGCATTAACCTGCAAAAAAGCTGCCCTTTTGACGTCATCGGTTCATTAAACGCAAAATTCTTCCAAATTTGGTCATCAATAGCTGGTTATGGTGAATTATGCGTGTGTTCTTTTAGCCAATCAGAATCGGGGAAATATTTTGAATGAATAAGAGAGAGGGGAGCAAGAGATGGCACAGTGGTGAGAGCACTCGCCTCCCACCAGAGTGTCCCGGGTTCAAATCCCGGAGTCGACGCCATATGTGGATTGAGTTTGTTGTTGGTTCTCTCCTTGCTCCGAGAGGTTTTTTCTCCGGGTACTCCGGTTTTCCCCTCTTCTCGAAAACCAACATTTCCAAATTCCAGTTCGACCAGGAATCAGGTAGACGAAGAACCACTTTGTGGATGTGCTACCTCCAAATCATTATTTATTTATTTATATTTATTTATTTATTATTAAATAATAAGATTTAATTGTTTGATAAACGAGAACATACAAATAGGTAGATCTTAATTGTGTTTTTGAAGATGGTTTAGAAATAGCTGTTTAAAGCCGTCGTGCCGATACCAAGGATGCCTTTGTGTTGGTTATTATGAAATAAAGTTGTGATTGTAAATCATCTTATTTTGGCTCAGTGTGATGGTTTTCACAGTCTTGTTGTCAAATTATTTTTGGTTTGTTCCAGTAAAGGCTAGTCGCCAAAAATTGGTGTAGTTCCTAAAAACGTCTCCCAATAGAGTTTCGAAGTGATGACGTCATAAGAATTAAATTTGTGAAATTATAGCTTTCGGAGTAAATTACTGATTGCAACATCGAAAACTACAAACTCGGACAACCAAAATTAAAATGTCTTATCTACTCGAATAAGCGCCTCGATTAAGCGCAGCCTTCGAATAAGCGCCGCATTTGGGACAAAAAATTAGCTAAGAAACGGTCCAGATGAGAACGATAGCAACCACGGCAACGAATTTGTTGGAATGCAAAAAAAGGTGCTAACTTTTCTATTGTCTGTACTTAATTCTGATTGGCTTAAACAGCAAAAGTTAACAAAACTTCATAAAGCGGTACATATATTCATCCTTACTTTCCAACCATCTTCCAAATAAAAAAATTCTGGTCTCAGTTTGAATAACAAAGAAATCCTATGTGGGGAACATGTAAAGTTGTAAACTTTTCTTTGCTATTGTTTTCAACTCTTGTGATTGGTCAAAATCTTTTAACCCCATAAAACACCCTTTCAAAGTGGATTGTAAATGCATTTTATTGCGTAAACGGCCTTCATGTAGGTTTATGAATTCTCTGTGTCAAAATGAGAACATTTCTATGTGAGGAAAGCACCGTTGCTGCATAACAAAAGAAATTGCTATCCACCTTACCCGGATCATTACTTAATAAGCTATGCACCTGAATATGCGCCGCGACCTGGTCCCGTTTTAATATTCTATAACTTTAATACGGATACTTAAATACCTAGTACCTATACCTACTATACCTATACCTACTATACCTATTTTTCCCGTCCAACTTTCAAACAATCGTCGCCCTCCAATAAGCGCCGAATTTTAGGTGTGAAAAAATTTGCTTAGCGCCGGGGCGATTGTTTGAGCTCAATACGGTACAGCAAAAAGTAAAAAGCAAAAGAAAAACAGACTGAAATGACATAATTTCTATAGATATGAAATTATAGGATTCAATCATTAGTTGAACAGCGGCATCTACAACAATGAGATGCAAAGTCGAAATAATACCAAAACAATTTAATTAACGGTTTTTTATCCTCATTGACGCCGCTAATTCGTTATTCTAGCTAAATCCAGAAAATAACAAAACAAAACAAAAAAGAAAGAAAACACCATAGCGAGCAAGCGCCCACGGTGATTGTTTGCCTTTTCTGGTATTACAGTCCTCGTATTTCAGTCTCTTCTGTCAAAACAACCCCGCTAAAAGTTTATCCCCATTAATTAATGGACTTTTTATTTTTCAAATTTGAGCTACGAAGTCGCTAAAAAGATGGAAAATCTATTGTGCTTTTTTAGCAGCAAAAAAAATGCACCCACCGGGGCCCTATTTTTCCGTAAGGAGCAAGGAGGCCGCGCATTTTTGAAGTTTTGGGGCACTGGAAACTAACACTCATTCAAAGATGGCGCACGGATTAAGCGCACGGAAGGCATGGTTGTTTCCCTCCCGTTTTTTATCTACTTTGCAAGGTTAGTAGCGATTAGGGGTGGATCAAACAGTAAGAACTGTATTATTTATCTTTTAAAACAGAGTTAGGATTGCTTGTGGTAATGTTTTACTCTGCATTTGGTAAGATCTTGACCCTCACCCTCGAAGCTCATGTGCTTAGACTGCTTAATATTGCTTATCAGGCTTATGCACAGCTCTTTCAATAGTCAGGGAGTTTTCAACAATTTGATTTTTAAGGGCAAAGGTGCCTTTCCAACAGCGTATGAAGGTTATATTTGTAAATTGGCCTTTTTTAAAGTCTTATTAAAAGTGCAATGTAGCAAATTGTTTATTTGTAAGCTTAGTAGCCAGGCCTTTGACTTAGGACTGAGTTGGGGGGTGCCGGGGGTGGGGAAGTGATGGGTGAAATTTTGAGTTTTTGGGGGATGAAGTTGATCATAAGAACTATAAGAGAGATCGGATTTCGCGTTTGATTGCAAAATCCAAAATCCGGATTTCAATTTCGCCATTGAATACAACCCTAGAGTTCGTGCCTGAAGAAGCAAGATAATTGCTGATTGCTGATGAAGATGACCAAATTTTTTTTTCAGATCGGATGGGTCCTGCAGATGACTTCAACAGCCAGGATTTTGAGCTTATTATCTTTGGCATTGTAAGTGCTGTATGTATTGCTATTGTATTCAAGCTCTTAGTGAACCAGATAAACTAAACTGCTGGTACAGCTTGTTCAAAGTAAGATTGAGGTATGGCTTTGTGAGTTTGTTGGGGGATGTATCTGGCCTAATTTAACACAAAACTCAAAACTTTTTTGAATTTAATGTATCTGTAAAATAAAAGATACACTAGTGAAGGAAAAAATATACAACAACATTTTCAGACTCAAAGGAAGAATATAAAACATTTTTGTTAATTGCTCAATTTTTTGAGTATACATCTATAGTTAAATAAATGTTTCTTTTGATCTTTTCATGCAAGACAGCTAAAATCTCTAGGACTGTTAGAGGTCAAAGAGTACATTTTTCAAATTCAGATTCAAATTCATTGTTGAATTAATTCTTGATTGATGGCATTAAATTCATTAAGTTGTTTTTTAACTTGCTAAATATTTACCGTAAGGTTTAAATAATAATATGCTGTTAAAATTAAGTCCTAAAAGTTTATCTGACAAATAGCAATTTGTCCTAGAGTAGCAGACACAATCTGCTTTGAACAAACTGTGCCACATTGTTAAATAACAAGTATATACTACTAGGTTGTGGCTTAGTATAGTTTGGAAATCTACATGATATTTCTTGAGTGGACTGATTTATTGACTGACTGACAATTTTCAGAGTGGTCCGTTCAATTCATTTAACTGATTGACCAACTCACTAACTGACTTACTGGTTGACTGTCTGGCTGATTTTCTGACTAACTAACTGACTGATTGACTGACTCCCTAACTTTCTAACTAAGTGACTGTTTGACTGACTGACTGACTGACTGACTGACTGACTGGCTTACTTACTAATTGATTCCCTGACTGTCTAAATGGCTAACTTACAGTTGGCTGACCAACCAGCTGACTGACTTGTTGATGGAGTGGCTGAGTGTCTAGCTGACTTGCTACTGACTGGCTGGCTGACATGCTGAGTGAGTGACTGATTGACTAAGTGACTCATTGACTGGCTGACAAATGAGCTTGCCGACTGAGCTGCTGACTTACTGACTGACCTATTGACTAACTGATATGGAGTAGCAATATGGACTTGGAATAGTGACACAATCTGCTTTGAACAAGTTGTGCCACATTGTTAGATAATAAGTGTATAATGCCAGGTTCTGCTTTGATTCCTACATTCGAGTTGACTGATTTAGTGACTGACTGACAATTTCCGGAACTTGCGTAATTTGTGCACCCCTTGGCCACCATATCGACCGATATATCGACCTACACTTGGTTATATCTGTTTGTCGAGTGTCGGTCAATGTGTCGGCCGATTGTGGTTGTCCGATTGTCAGCTGAAATGTCCATCGATAGACTATCAACATTCTGCCAATACTTCACTGATACTTGAGTACTTGGTAGAATGTAGCCGGCGTCGCAGACATAATTTAACCTAGGTTAGTAACGTCTGTGGAGCAGCCCAGATATCCCTGTTCTGCCCCCCCACCTGCTTCTCAGAAAGGGCAAATTCTGCTTGTTTTTCCCCACCACTTTCGACCCCTGTCACACCGGCTAATTGTCTTCTAACGAAAAGCGGGGACCACGCAACTATTTTTATTAAAGAGTGTGGGATGGGGGCCACAGTTTTCTTCTCTCTTCCCTCTAAACAATGTTACCCTTGTTTGCCAGAAAAAATGTCATCTCTGTTACCTTATTGTATTATGGTAACTTATTGATATAAATTGATTTATTGTAAGAGCTAACTCTACTGTATTTTCTTTTTTAACAGAACTGGCCTGGCCCGTGCAGACAAAGCTTTTTCCTTCAAGTAAGAATGAACCTTCTTTGAGGATTGTTTATACTTGTTAATACATGTATGATGTAAATTGGTTAATAAATCCGTGTTTTTGTTTGTAAATAACAGTTTTATTTTACGTAAGTCTTATCATTTAAAGAAGATGGAACAAGCTGGCAGGCTTTCTTTGTTACTAATTGAGCGCGAATATCAGTCGTCCTGGAAGTGATTCTATGACCTGTGTGCAGTCGCACGGCACCCTCCCCTCAAACAACTTCGATTTTGTTTGAGGCAAGCGAGTGGCAGTACACAGGCTAAATCAAAGGAAAAGCGAAATCTAAGCAGAATACAATGCCAAGCGGAAGTGTGTTATACGTGGAATGTGTTGTTCTTTTTAGCTGTGGAGACCCGTATTTTGTTTATCTGTGTCAGCACCAGCCTATAGTCTTTTCACTCCGTAATGTGTTACGTAGATCACATGCCATCAGCCAACGTAATTGCGGAAAGCATGCTCGGCTGTGAGTGTAAGAACGGCAAAAAGCAAAACAACAACTTTGCACGTGCATCACGCATTTTTGTACATTTCTTTGCCGTAGTTGCACGACTGCGACGTGAAAATGCGTAATTTCACGTTTTGTGAAGGACGTGAACACAAGAAAACTGAGACAACTGTTTTCTGTTTCTGAACTAACATACAGCCTTTTAGAATTCAACTCCAGACAAATTCGCCAGCATTTGACAAGTTGAACGACATGGAATTTGGGCGATAAAGTTTAAAACAGTGCGAATTCACTTTTTTAAGAGACATTTTCGCAGCTCTCGCCGTCCTGGTTACTTAAGCTTCCTAATATCATTAAATGGATTTCGTCTCAAAGGTTAGCGATTTCTTTGTTTAGAATTCTGTTGTCCATTTACTCCTTTTCATAGCGTTTCTCCGTTCCATTTAGTTT